CACATGGTCAGGTTAATAAGTTTCATCAATTTGGATACTCATATTAAATATATATAGAAATTCGAAACGAATTATGATTTAATCGCAAAAATGCTTTTATGTTATAACATAACATTCGATCACATCGGATTTTTTACAAACCTATAAAATATAAATAAAATTGTAGACATTATATGTATAGGTTATATATAAATTACTTATATATAATTACTTTATTCATAATTATATCATCAAATATGTTATATTATCATAAGCTGACTGATCAGCTTTGCACAGAAAGCAGAATTGTTTTTCTTATTCAAAGATATTATATCATTAAATTCAAATTGTACACCATATAATGCAGTGACTCACTTTTTAAATACTGTAGTTACAGCAGAGTGAAACCCACTTGCCTACCTTTTTTAGTTTCTTTTTCTATAAATGTCAATAAAATTTTATTCATTTTGTCAAAAAGCTTGAAAATTTAATACAATTTCTCCTAATATATTATTACCTCGGCGCTAAAAAATATTAAAAATACATAGTCACAAAGGAAATACGAGGATTTTTCAGGAAAACCAGTTTTCGATAAAATCTATATAGTTTTTATAATTTAAGTTAAAAAAGGTGGGTAAGTGGATGTCGCTCTGCTGTACTGTAGATTTCAAGTGGGTCACTGTATAATGGATTTTATTAAATTTGAATTCAATGATATAATATCATTGTATAAGAAAAACGACTCTGAGCGAAGACGGTCAATCAGCATATACCTATCATATATGATATTACTAAGTAGGTATATTTCATGATAATATTATTGTGAATAAAATAAATTATATATTTAAATATTTACGTACCTACCCTTGTTTTAAATTTTCAATCCTTAGCTATAAAAGTTGAACATCTTATACATTTTTAACTAAAAATAATTATTAAATTTTAAATTTGATTCATTTTGTCAAAATTCGAACTTTAAATGATTATAAAAAAAAAATTGTGCTTATGTATTTTTGATATTTTTCAACTGCTATTGTCACAATATATCAGGAGCCTTGCTTTAAATCATCAAGTTTTTATCCAACAAATAAATTTGTTTTGATATTTATAGAAAAAAAATTTAAAAATTTAAAACTCACTAAGCAACTCAAAAAGAGTCAAATTATTTTCAACATTTCATGTTGTATATTAGATGCTAATATAAACATTCAGCAAAATTTTCAAATATCTACAATCATTCGTTTCTTAATTACAATAAAATAACAAAACTGCTAAATGAGAAATCAAGTGAATATCCAATATTGTAAAATTATGAACTTCAAACGCTCATAAAGATTTAATCTGACTTTCTTGTAGAATTTTTTTTTTGATAAAGATAGATAAACTTATAAGTAATCTGGTACTGCATTTACGGCCGTAAATAAATTTTTTTTTAATGTAAAACATGCCAATTTTGTTCCAATAATACGACTTACAGAATGGTTTTAGAGCAAAATACCTTTATTAAAAGTTGTAGAGAAGAGTTATATCGGGTGACGTCTAAGACTCGATTTTCGATACTTCATTCTCAAAAACAATAAAATCGTTTTGCGTTTTCACTTTTTTTCATTTTTTTACTTGTGAATATTTGGTATAAAAAATTTAAATATAAAAAGTCGAGTCTTATACGTCACCCGATATAATTCTCCTCTACAACTTTTAATAAAGGTATTTTGCTCTAAAACCATCCAGTAAGCAGTATTATTGGAACAAGATTGGAATGTTTTTGTACGTTATGTTGAGTTTCTGATACATTTATCGTCATTAACACGTAAAATCAAACAGAAGTATAAAAGTAAACTAGATATAAATAATACAATTTTTAGATTGGTCAATCGATGTGTGAAGCGAGTAACTTTTACACATATAAGATAGACAATTATGATGAGCCGGGCCCAATGACGTCCCGTGGCGCTTTTCTACATTTCTTAATATTTCTTAAAGTAATCATTTTTTTTTACAATGGATTTTCACTAAATCATTTAATTCAGCCATACCTACAATAATTTAATATTAAAAAAAATGTAAAGAAATTTTTGTTTTGTGTTGTGAGCTCCTTTAACCTATAAAAGTTCAAGATTAAACACATTTCTTACTAAAAAAAAAAAAAGTTTGTCAATTCTTCCGATTTTGTCGAATTTTATCAAAAACTGAACTTCAAAAAAAAAGTTTGTCAATTCTTCCGATTTTGTCGAATTTTATCAAAAACTGAACTTCAAAATGCATATACAAAATTGTGCTCCTGTATTCTTCATATTTTTTACAGCTATAAATAAGACAGTATAAATTGATGGAAAACATTTTGAGAAAATGTCAAGTGTCTAAAGTTATTTATCAATCGTTTTATAGTTAGTATAGGTAACAAAATATCAGAAATAGATGAAGGTGAAATAATTAATTTAAGTGTGAATACATTCATTGTCAACAAATTTAACTTCAAACTCATAAAAAATTTATTTGACTATTTCGAACTATTTTTTTTTTTTATTAAATGTAGGAAAACTTATAAGAAATCTTGTACTTTTCAAATATTAAATATAAATTGAACATTTTAATTCTTATTTTAGTTTTATGAGAAGTCATTATTATAATATACCTATACAACAATTTTAAATTTTTTAAATATTACTCATATTTCACTTATTATTACTAAAAAGCTACAGATGTATTTCTGATCACCTAGGAGATATAAACAGTGTCAATAATAATAGTGTCGTTTCCCGTTAAAAAAAAAACGTGGTGAAAGAAGATAGGTAATAATTTATTATGACTAGATATTGTAATTATCAACCACAAAAAACAAACCATATTATGACGTTTATTTGTGAGCTGTATATTATTTTACTCGTTTGTTATTGATAGAGGGAGATAGATTTTATAATATTATATATTGAATGTAAATCATGTAAATAATAATTTGTATTACTTGTATGTCGACAATATTATGTTTCTGGGTACTTGCTATTATTATAAACTATTTAATGGTTAAGCAAGGAACTTATCGTAGTATCGTACCAACCAATAGCAGTGGTTTTTAAACTGTTGAGTGAATAAAATTAATTTACTATACTTACCTATACTCAGTTTAGGTTGAGATTGAACCGCTTTCGCTCATGCAGACTGAGCCATCGAACAGTAACAGACCCCCCCCCCCCCCCCATGCGATGGCTATGTGTTCTGTCGTTGGCCGACAGTCATCACCGACCATCGTCGATCTATTCAATTTTAATCTGAACAGAGTCTAGTAACATCGTCAAATTTCCAAGGCGGCCCAGCCCATATATTGAGCCTGCCCGGTAGCACACTTTTCCAGTCCAGTGTTAATAATAGATTGACAATTTAAAAACAATATTAATTTAAATAATGAAACAATAACTAATGAATACAAAATAATCGAAAACTCTAAGGTACAATAATAAAGATTTCCAATGAACTAAATAATGAACAGCGTCAACATTTATAAAAAAAATGTAATTATTTATTTACGTAAATATTAAACATAGAGTGCGAAAACGTGGAACCATGTTAAATTAAATTAAAAACAGACAAATTAATACTTCAATCACCGTAAATAATTTATACTGTAAAAAATTAAACCACAGTATTAAATAATACCAAAAAAATTAGGATCTATGACACTATTATAATTGGGGATCTAGAAATAGTTAAATACCTACACGTAATTTTCAATTACACTAATGATTTTTTTTATGATATCTTGAAGAAAATCTGTTCACAATAACATAATATTACAATTTTATCACACAGTTTATAACTATTATACATTTATTGTAACTGTTTGATTTTAATTTTTCTCCTAGATTGTATAATATGCATTACATTTTTTTTTTTAGAAATAAATATGTAATTTAGCACCAGATCAGCAAAACCAAAAGTCAAGACACAAGCAAAAATTGTAATAGAAACAATACAAATATTTTATTTTTTATATTTTTATTTATTCTTCAGGAAAATAATGGGCCCCACTGAACATGTTGGTTAAATAAACTAACAAAACTACTGTAATAGTATAATAATTTACACTGAGTGATTTGACGATTATACGTGAAAAGCGGCGTCGTAGTACAGGCTAAGTGTTTGGAAATAGTATTTTGTTCTATGTTTGGTTTTACAACTAAATAAAAATGTTTTCGACACGAAACCAGAGTTTGAATATTATTTTAAGTGTTCTTTGTTCTTACCTTTTAAATAGGAACATTTCCGGGACATTCGTACCTTTAGACTATAGTCAATGAAGTTTATTTAAACTGAATAGTGCTACGGTATATGAGATCCTGATAGTCATTCAATTTTCGAGAAACGGACGTAGCATCAACAAACCCAAACGCATATTGCCATGCCTCGACAAAGCCAATAGTGCTAATCTGAATTTAGAGTCATTAGCTTAGAGAGTACGAAGGTAAGGCGTGTAGTAGGTTTTACTTTGAGTCACTCTATACGGGTAATACCACATAGTTAAAAAGTATTGGTAGTTAATGGAATACTGACATGCACAAAAAGATGACATACAACATGTAACCATATATACTGATTTTAAATTATTTTAGAACACTACCTTTTAATGGACAGTATACACAATCAAAATAAAATCTGATGATTATTTAAAACTTAAATTTAATAATAATAAAAACAAAAATATGAAATTTTACAAATATTATGTATATTTTGTTCAATAATAGTGTTATTATTTGTTTTTATTTGCTTTTTAAAACCCGATAAAAAAATATAAATAAATTTAAATAGAACCCTTAACAAAAAAAACACTGTCGGTACACCAATATTTGTAAATTTATAAATAATTGAATTCCAACAGAAATAAATGAAAAATGGCCAAAAATTTTTTTTTGTTTGTATAAATTGTTTATAATATGGTATCTGTTATAAAATAAAAAAAAAAGTTCGACAATTTGTGCCGATTGATGAATATTGAACACACGCATCCACAAGTTAGTGCTGTTAAACTACTCAGCTGTTTCATCTTCATCAGAATCATTTGCAACAACTGAAAGGAAGAATGAATTTAAACGTTCAACAGCCATAGTTTTTGTTTCTAAGTCTTCATTGAATCCAGCTTTGAATTTGTCTTCTTTTTTCCATAATTCAAAAGATTCTTTACTTATAATACTATTCTGATAAAGCTTATGAAACAGTTTGGATATCATTCCTTATAGAAAAACAGTGATATTAATAATAAATCTAAAAATTAAGCAGTTGTAACTAACCTCCAGGATGTTCAAGTGCAGCAGACATAATTTGAATTCCATACAGACATTGTATTTCTCTTGCCTGGATTTCAGGTTCTGGAAGTGTTTTAAACCGAATATAATAGGTCAACAATTTCACATGAACATTATCAAAGAAATCCTCGTATGCATGATTCAAATCTATAAGTTAAAAATTAATATTTAATAATTGAGTAACTGTTTTAACACATTCGCAGAAGAAATGACTTACCCGAACATACAATGACAATGGCTATAGTTAATGCTCGGACAAATTGAGGGTATTTTATTATTTCTGCTTTGATGTTTGTCTAAATTAAAAAAAAATTTAATAATTTAATAACAATGTTTATTATCAACATGTGTAATATAAAATACAATGTATTAATTTAGATTGGTTGGTTAATTATTTTACTTACACTTATCCAAGTACACAATATATTGTAACTATGTATAGTTATCTTCAATTTATCATACATAGCAATAGACAAAAGGAATGCTCCAATTCGCTAAAAATTAAATAAATTAAATACAATAAAACAAAATACACTTATAACATTTTTAAAAACTTACATCATTTTCAAAATATTTATTGATTTGGTTATCAGGCATAAATATGTCAAGCGGAACATATTCAGACGCCAGCCACTTATTGTAAATCCACAATATACCACCTAGTTGCTGAAATGACAAAAATTATAGTATTAAAGATCAGACAACCATCATAATATTTAAAAGTTTATAACACATAATTAAGTTACAATGAAATAAATGAAAAAGTAATATGTAATATATGATTATACAAATATATGAAATATATGAATAAATAATAAACTCCTGCCAATATTGGCCACTAATGAGTTAAATCTAAATTAAAATAATGAGCGACAAATGATTGCATTGGTGTTGCCTAACCATAATGTTATTTATTCTATCAAAATAATATCTGTCTAATTTAGTAAGAAAATATCTAAATACAAAGTTTATATATGTTATACTTCAGAATATACTGTATGTGTTCAGTAAATAAAATTAAAATTAAGTTTTTCTGATAAAGAAGTGTTCAACAATGACAACAGTTTAAATAGATTATGTGAATAAAATTCACTATATAGTTTAATATTAATTGGGAACAGAATAAAATAATATACTGCACAGTGACAAAAAGTCTCTGATAAAAATTTGATTTCACTCATAAGTGGTGCATGATAGTAGAAGACAAGTAGATACTTAATTGCACTAACCTCCGCCAAACAAAATTCCACACAAGTTAGTCAAATCCAAAATAAATAATGAGCAATAAAAGATTGCATTAGTGATACCCATTTATAGAGTTTTTTAGATTCTGAGTGGAGTGATGAATGTATTTAATGTATAATAGGCTAAGTTAGGTTGTAAGTGATAATACTAAAATTGTTATTTTACATTTAAATATCAAATTTTGTCATTTAAGTCCGTCAATAATCATAGAAAATTCAAAATTGTGCATAATATATTGTATAATGATTGTTTTACAATCCTGTAAGACAAATCTAGGGAGACAACCCTTTTATTAAATGTTCAAGATTTTTCATACACAAACAAAAATTGCATCATGCATAATTTTTATTTTTTAAATAGCTTCAAGGAAAAATAATTTGAATTCATATCAAGAAAATAGTATACTATTGTTCACTACAAATTTCATACCTATACATATCATTTTTGAATTAGTGGAAACAAAAATATTTTTAATTTAAACTGAGATTGTTTAATTAGTGCAATTAGTAATTGTCTCACTAAAAAACTATATACAATTTGCTGCCAGAAAACTAACCCATTATATTAGATTGAACTTTTTTACATCTCAACAAAGTAAATATGACAATAAAAAAATCACAAAATGAATACCTTTTTGATCCACTCAAAATATTTAAAAATAAACTATTTTAATAACAACTATCACTTACTTCTTTAATGTTCTGCTTTTCCTTGGAAATAAGAATTTTATTTAATACTTCTAGAAACAATTTACTAGAATTGTCTGGTCGTATTGATGTACAAGAATCTTTTAAATTTTTGAAATCAAAGGAATCATTCTGTGACAATAATAATGGAGCTATGAAAAAAAATATTTAAATTAAGGATGTTTGCACACTTCAATTATTTGCATAAATAAAAATATTACCAATAATGGCAGCAATATAGGAGAAAAATTTAGGGTAATCCATCAAATAATCATTCCAATCTTTAAGGACAGCATCAATTCTTTAAATTAAAAATTTTCATATGAATTAGAATGTTATGTACTCTGAATAATTAATTACCCTTTAGTTATGGCCTCTACAGAAAGAATTTGTTTAGATAAAAGTTGAGCAAAAATGTTTCCTGCTACTGTTGTTAGTGTAATTGGATTACTGTCTAAAGTTATAAGTGACATTAATTTCACAAACTCTTCATGCCTTGTGCAGATCACCGAAGTTTCATCTTCCGATAATGAATAAATTATATCCTATATATTAAGAAATCAAAATTAAAATGTTGATTATATTTCATATTATACCTCATTATGTGACAAATATTTTTATCTTAAATACATACTTCTAAATTTTGCGTTTCATCATATTCAAGAAGTATGTTTTTACATTTCATACTAATTTTATTGGCTATTTTTGAGTCCAGTGTCAGAACTGGTTCTTCAACAGTTTTTTTGAACTGTGCACTAGAATAATTTATTGAATGATTGGGTTGAGCAAATTGAGGTATTATACTCGCTACACCTGAATAAATAAAATAAATAAACAAGTGTATTTCAAAAACAGGTCAGTTTACTAAATGCCATACCAGACATCATTCTTTGTCTTCCTTCAGTTTTTGATATAACTGGCTGCCGTGATGTGTTTCTATTTGACCATAAAAATAATGTCAGGCTTTCATAAAAATAACTATAAACTTAAAAATAAATATATTTACATAGTTTGTGGAGAATTTGATGATTTATTATCATCATTAAGAACTGCATGTGGGTTACTTATAGTAAATATCATATTATTAACCGTGGTAATTGACCATTTAGGTGGGCATACGTTTTTAACAGATATTTTTTCCTAAAGAAATGTATTGTAATTAATATTTTAGTCAAGTAGTGCCCTAAGTATTGAATATAATTTATTACCTTAAAACCTTGTAGTTTAGATTGGTCAATAGTGGTATTTTGTTGCGTATTTTGAACAGCATTCCACTCAATCCAATTTTCACCTAAAAGAACATTTAAATGTTACTATCATATTGGTCAACTATATAATACTTATAGTATACTATAGTATACCTTAGTATAGTATACTATTATATGTATTAGTCAAGAATTAAATTTAACATGTTAAAAGTTAATACAAGTTAAACTTGTATGAATTTATTATGTTTTTTTTATCACAGTGTTTAATCAACTATTAATAATATTTTCAGTAAAAAGATTAGACAAAATAAATCATTAAAAAACTCGTCCCCAAAAAATAAAACTATAAAATTACAATACTTTTTCAATGTATTAGTATATCTAATACTGATTTGATTATTAATAGAAATTTAAGATACATACGGCGACTTTTTTTTTTACCACTCCTAAAATTGTGATGATGATTTTGTTTTTCAGGTCTATTACAAGCCGGTGATATAGATTGATGTACAATTGCTTCATTTTTGATGTCATTTTCTATTTCATGTACCATTTTGGGTTTATTATCAGTACGCCTAGGTGTCCATCCATCATTACGCAAATCAATGACATCCTGTATCATGAATTTTATTCTAGTTGGAATCTCGGATTTCATGTCTCTGGATGTTAAAGCTTTAAGTTTTTTAAAAGTTTCATCTAAATTGTAAGACTGAAAGAATAAAATATAATAAGTAGTTAGTTAATCCAAGAAGTAAAAATATTTTCTATGTAACTTGGTTATTTACAATAATAATTTTTCAATTGTAATATTCTATATTTTCAACTTTCAACTTGTTTAAATATTAAAATTGTATGAATACCACAACAAAGATAAGGTTTTTACTTTTTACCATCAAGATTTATAATGGGTAAATTAATTCTAATATTAATGGAAACTTAGTCAGATAAATGTCATCTTTCTGTTAAATGTTATTAAGACAAAACCAATGTGTGGTACTATCAAATGCTTGTACTATAAAAGTTTTTTTTTTCAAATTACTGTTAATGTAGGCAATAAATTTGAATTTTAAATTTATTCTTTGTTTGCTTAGCTAAAATTCAACAATATTACATGGTCTCAAATGCATAATCAGACTCTAATAAATAAATATTATTAAAATTTACCGATTATGTCTACACTTATTTTATATGACTATTTAAAAATTATACTGATTAAATTAAAAAAATAAATGAAATATTATCAAGTTAAAATTATTATTTCTAATTAACTTAATAAAATAAATAAAGTTTAAATTTACTTGTTCCAATTCTTTTCCAACAGTCTTTAATAAATTGCATAAACACTCGAGGGGTTCTTCGACTTTTTTGGTGACTAAATTCCTGATGCAATACATCATAATACTTGGGGTAAGTATTTTTTGTTTAAATAATTCACCAATAAATCTAATAACATACAATGAAAAATATAGAAACTTGATATCTTCATTTACTGTATATTATTATATATATTTTTTTTACCTGCAATTTCCTACGGAACGTTTGCGTAATTCTTTTTCATTTTCTTCAAATTCAAGTTGAAGTTTTTTCTTCTTTTCCTAAAAAATTATAATCATAACAAATTAACAATTCTTTTAAAATGATTGTATGTTATCAAAATTACCGAATCTTTGCAAGAATTAATTTCAGTGAGTTTTTTAGAAGAGTTCTTTTCTTGAGCCTTGTCTAATTCGAATAGGCTTTGGCATTTACTTATTATCAACTTCTTAAAAGATGTCGTTTTACCATATTTAGACCTAACATGTACTGATTGCATAGCTGAACATAAAGATGAATATAATGGTACAAAAGTTTGTTCTTCTATTGCCTGAAATTTAAAAAAAAAACAAAATGTGTTAATGTGAATAATTTTTCAATACTTATGAAGGACATAATAATAATATGATTATTACACCAAAATATTCTTTTCCACTGACATTTTGTAAGTATAATTAATAAATAAATTTAAAAAGTAAAATTTAAAAATATATAGATGATCAATACTACAAAAACAAAATCAATTTATGAACATTTAAAACAATTTTTATAATTACATAAAAAAAGCTAATTAATGAAATAAAATAAATTATTCATCAATTTTATATATTAGTTCTAAAACAATATTGTTTCACACTTCCAATAAGATGAACATATATATTTTTGGTATTTTTTTTTTTTATATAAATTACCTTTTTAAAAACTAAATCAATAGTTTTCTCAAGACGTTCAATGGTATCAATAGGTAATGCCTTAAAATGATCAATTAATGAAGACATGTTATCAGGAGTTATTTTATTCAAAATTGATCGAACACTTTTGTATACTTCCTGTAAAAAAAAAATAATTTAAATAGAATAAATAACAATAATATTGAGTTATTTAAAAAAAAAAATTCCCAAAATCATTATTGTTGATAAATTGTGTGGATAAATCTTATATTTTGTGCAATTATGAAATATAAAAAAAATTTAAAATTCATAAGCTGTCATTAACTACAACTATAAGTTTGTTACTAAAAAAACTATTTAGATATTAGACTTTTATGTACGAATCAAAAATAAGAAAATTGGGAGAAAGTTATGACTTGAAGTTAATAAATGTGCAAATAAAATGTATGATGTTTTAAACAATCAAATAATAACTACAACAATTATGACAAATAAAAAAAACATAGTATAATGGAAACATTAAACCTTGGATAACAACAACTCTAAAATTCCATTAGAACAAGATATAAGTTATTAATTGAAAAGCTATTTTTTTTTAAAAATTCAACAATGTATATATTTTATGTACGCCCTGCCCACCTTTCCCCTTCTACCTGGACATGATTTCGGCCTATGCCTATGCATATTTCATCCGTGTGTCGGTTGCCATGGCTAATTAAACAATGTGTGGTAACGCAGACTGACTCGTTGCGTACATCTATGGATTTACTTTATCTACTTCACAAGAGTATTAAAGTTAATAAGCTTTGATATCTGTGCTTTGTTATATTTTGTTTATTTATTTTATCGCTGTAATAATATGATTAGTCCACTTGATTACTTATTTAATACAATTGTTTATAAGCAGGCCTGAGAATTTAATGCACTAAAAATCCCAAAAAAATGCATTAAAATTGTCAATAAAATGCAATGAAATATGCACTTAAAATGCAAAAAATGCAATTTAAAATGCCAAAAATTATAGTATAAAATTCACTTAAATAGTTTTTAATTTTATTTTTATATTGATATTGATATTATAGGATATTATTAAACATTAGTTCATTACATTTTACCCGCATAAAAATGTGTTTATTTAATAAGTAGAAAAAAATAAAAACATTGATTGAACTTGAATTTTGTATAATGGTATTCACCTAAAACATTTTTAAACATTTTTTTTATGTACCTATTATTTTTGTTAAAATAATAAAACAAACTTTAAATAAAACTTATAAAACTTATAAATTTATGTATTTGATGAAGTGCGATAATTGAATGCAAATAATTTAACTTAGCTTGGTTGCTACTTATAATATGTTCTTAAATAGTTTTATGCGGTAATATTGTACAAATATAAAATGGGGTTGTAAATATTTATGTCAGTATTATAATATGTTTAGTTGTAGTCGTACATATTAGTAGCCTCCAAGATAAGTTAATTAATTTATATTAAATTATCCCAATTCATCAAATACAAACAGTTATAAACAATTTCTATTCTAATGAATTTAAGATATTACTTATCCCCTTTTTGATATCACAACTTTTCTAACTTAAACTTTTTTTTTTTAACAAAGTTGTTTACATGTAGAGTTTTTGTTGAGATACATTTAACAATTATTTTGTAAATGTTGAAAAAATAGAAAAACCTTAAGTCTGATGGTATACCGAATCATGGAACCAATAATTTTACAAATAACAATAATGATGATAATTATGATAGTATTAACACATTAATCAATCGTTTCTCAGAATGTTAAGTAATGGCTGTCATCAAAATTTTAATAAAGGATGCTTTAACATTGTTTAACAGTATTTCTTTAAATGTATTGATGCAAATTTTGGAATACATTTTAAAACCAATTACTTATTTAGTAAATTTAAGCTTTAACAAAGGTATTTTCCCACAAGTGTACAAAAATCCATTAGTTATTCCATTGCATAAAACAGGAGATCGGGATACCCCAAGTGACTATTTTAGGTCCTCTTCCTTAAATGAAGGTAAATGACTTACTGGAATTAGACATAAATGGAAATACATGAGATTTTGCAGCTGACATTATTGTTCTTTAAGGGTCATAATTGGATTGAAGTAGGAACAAGAGTCAATTTAAGGCTAAGGATAGTTAATAAATGCTACATAATAAATAGCTTATCTTTAAATAACAGTAAATAAGACGTGTTTATTTCATTATCAAGAGGATAGTACACAAATATTTGTTGTCTCTGTCTTACAAGTGCGTATTATAGCAAATTTAGACTCGTATAGATAACGTATAGCTCCATTTGTTTAAAAACTAGAGTGAATTGACCTACTATGAAACTTGATGATAAGAACATTAATTGTGTTTGAATGGTGGTTTTTTACAATAAGAGAGTTATGATCAGGGATGGGATTTTATAGCACATAAAATTACATAAATATGAGCTTTAATATTAACTTAAATATTGCTAAATATGCAATACAAATAACAAAATAACAAAAAAGAAAAAAATTTATAAATTAATAATTTTTTAGTCACTTACAATTTATTATAGGTAGTTACTTAAGATTTGAAATAATTTAGTCAATGATCAGAAACCAAATGAATTGACTATGAATTCAAAGTTCGTTCGATTATGATCGGCGATTAAAAATCGCAGTAGAAATCGACAAAAAAAAAAAAAAACAAAAAATCAGCAGATAATAAAAATTAGAACCAAATACCTAATATGAAATATTGGAATAATTCAATTGACAAAAATCTAAAAAAACTTTTACTAAAAAACAGGTAAAAATGCAAGTCTCAGAAAATCTAAAAAAAGCACTAAAAACTAAAAATCGCAAAATATGCAAAAACAAGCAAAATACAATTTTTCATTTGAGTTCTCTGTATCATGAAACATATTTTTAGCTTACTCTGCTATTTTTTACGCACCTCATAAAAATATGCAAATGTTATAAAATCCCAACCCTGGTTATGATCATTTTGATTGACACTATATTATATATGTATAACTTGCAAAAAATTGAACTATCGTAAAAATCCCACATGCAAACACAGATAATGTTCTTATTTATAAGTTTCATAATAGTTTGATTCCCTCTGATTTTTTATCTAACGAAGCTAAACGTGATCTGCTGAGCGTGAATTTTCCATGTTACGCACTTGTAAGACAGACACAACAAATTGCTGTATACCAACCTCGTAAGTAATATAAATTCACCAAAAGAAATTATTTTGAAGTCATACTTAAATAAATGTTTACAAGAAAATTATATTAGATAAATAATATAATTAAATAATAGATTATTGTAATGTAAATTGCACTTAAATATAAAGGTTACATTATACTAAATATTTAGAAATAATCTTTGATGAACACCTTAAATGAGTACCTCACATTGATACTTTAATTATCTGTATTAGAAAATGTTTTTATGTATTTAAGGAACTTTTAAATATTTTAGAAAGGTATTAAATGATGAGAATAATATACCTAGCTATAGTGCAATCAATATTAACTTATGACTTAATTATTTTTATTTATTTATTTAGTATATTTAAATATATTTAAGTACATATATTAACTCCAATCAGCTTTTGCAAAAAAGAGTATAAAAAGAATACAAACATTACATAACATGACATAATATATGAATCAGATAAATATTAAAGTAATATATAAGAATGACATTATAACTGTAATAACAAAATATAAATAGATAAGTAGCCTAGGTACGAATGGTCACCAAATATTTGAGATGTGTATGTGCATCATTCTCAAGAGAGGTGCATTAGCAGCAAAGTTAGAAATACTTGTTGGTATATAAAAAGTTTCTTGGGATCGAGTGCTGCTAGGAATCTGGATGCTGAGTCTCTCTAACAAACGAGGTGTATCTATTTGTCCGTTTAACCCTAGAGCGGTCAAAAAGACCGGGCTTTTAGAATTTTGTTCATTGTTTCAAAAATACGAAATATTAACTTAATCCCAACTAAGTACCTTCTAATTAGGTGATAAACTAAAATTAGATACAACTCCCAACTGTATACGATCTAATGTCAGCAATATTTAAGTGTTAAAAGTTCATTACCAGACATTACATATTAATATACGGTCAAAAAGACCGTTAAAAAATCAATTATGTGTTATTTTTAAACTGTGTTTCTAATAATTGCTGCTCGATAAACGAAATTGATAGTTACTATATTTTCATTGTGACTGTTTAGTTGACTATGATTTGCACTATACTGTGTGTGACTAAAAAAACCGTGTGCGTGAATATTTTAAATGCGTGTGATCTAGGGTTAATAATCCCCTTATAAAGCGATGTGGGGATTTGAATACAAAAATGAAATGGAACCAATACACATAGTTTACAGAATTTTAGTTAGAATTATGCTAAAATATTATTATGATAATAGCTTAAGCAAAGATGATTTATTTAAAATTAATCATAGAAATACATAAAAATAAATCAAATTTCAAAAACCCAAATAGGAAAAAAATAAGAAGCACTACTGAAGGTAATAACTCAAGATTTAAAATTTTAATAAAACAATTGTATTTGTCAGTTATTTTGCTAGTCCCATTAGTTTATGCTATTAACTATTAAAAAATAAGCATTCTGAGAATGATTGATATTGATTTTTAAGTTTTGTTTATATATAAAGTAGCTGTTCGTCAATAAGTTACGATATTATAAGTTGTGAACTTCTTGTTCCCACCACAATAGCTACGCTTAAAGAAAGTAGGTTTAAAACAATTTTTATAACATTATATAAATAATTTAGTTGTAAAATTAAATTAATGTTACCTACTTAAAAATGTATTATTTAATATTATTGTTTTTGATTTCAAATAAATAATAATAAAATATACATTGTTGAGTAAATTCTTTAAAATATGAAATTTAATTCTAACACCTACATTATTTTTTTGTTCCTCTTCATTTTTTGTTTTTACTACTTCAGACTTGGTGACTTTTTTAGCAGCTGTTGGAACCCAAGCATTTTCAGTCTGATTTAATTTAACTTCTTCTCTTACACACATAGGCATATGAAAACCGTTAGGTTTTGCTGTTTTTCTTTGATAACTTTTGCACTTGACACCTGGTTGCTAAAATTTATAATATTATATACAACATTTTTAAATTTCTTTTTAAAATAATTATCAATTCTAAAAAATTGTAAACCTTTTTGACTATCATCAGGTTTAAAATAAGAAGGCATAAATCTAGTTGCATCACCACTAAGGTACTTCTAAAAAATTTTAAAGTATAAAATGCAATACATAAGTTTAAAATATTAAAATCATGAATATTCATTTAAAAACTTACACCTAATGAATCAAACTGTGATACACTAGATAATTTTGTTAGTTCACTCTCTTTACTTAATACATCAGGCTTCTTTTGACAGATGGCTTCTCTACCAAGTTGTACTAAAAATAATTTAGAATACACTTTTTTTCCAGTTGGGTTTGTAAAACTCCATTGTCCTATATAAATAAATAATAAATATATATAATATATACAATAAAATCTTTGTACTTGTGTAACCATGATAAAAAAACAAATAATAATCTAACCTTCAGCATACGGTAAATTGTCTATATAACTAGGCAGCTTTAAAGCTGCATCAAAAACAACGGGTTTGTGTTGAATCCCGTTGTTTTGGGTTTCTTTCGGTTGTTGTACTAACTTTTCCTGTTTTGGAATTATACTCTTTTCTCCTTCATTTTTAGAATAATGATTATTATTCTTATTCTTCTTGGTTATTTGTTGTTTTAAAATATCCTATGATATATAATTATGTTTTACATTTAACTATAATATGACTATATGAGTAAAGATTATAAAGCTTTCAGCTTTGTATAGGGTTAATTTAAATTAATAGTATAGGTGTTGAAAGTATGGTACTAGACAGTATTCTAACAGCCCCAGGCTGTAAAATATGTATCTCACCATATTGTATATTATATTAAAAATATATTTTACATATTATATACTAAATTTCAATAGATATAGTGGAGTATAGAATTCCAATAATTAAGTTAAATAATAATTGTATAGTTAATTATTTTCAATATCAAGTATTATACTACGTTTTTAATTCTAGAAAAAGTATGAATACTAAATAGTTAATTTGACGATCATGCCATTTTATATACAGTTTTTTACTAGGCTAGGGGATTAACTTTATACAACTCGAGGCGGGGTAATATCAGACCGGTGCCACAGATATTTTTGCAAAATTCTTATTTCACTCACATTAGTTTTTGATTCAATACCATGCTCAATAGTATTAGTTTCAATTGTATTATCTGCTTTCATTCCATCATTGGCATATAATTTAACCAAATTGTTGTTTTTGATATTAGTTTTATTTTGTTTAACTATAAAATATAATAAAAATCCATTAAATTAAGCTAATAGATTTTTTTTTTCAAAAAGGTAATATGATGAAAACATTTTTAATAAAACCATAGCAGATATTTTGCTCACAAGCCATACATGCTGCCAGAATTGTCTGAAAAAGCAAAATTATACAAATACTAAAAAAAAGGTGAGAAGTTATACATTTATATAATACTGAATCATGTGTCATCATGCCTTTACAACTATATAATCATCAAAACTATGAAATTAAAATATATATTTTAAGATTAGAACTACACACCTTAGTATACATAATATAGGTTTCCAAATATTACAATATTGTTTATTTAAATAAATATAAGAATGGTATAAACTAATTAAAAATATTATATTTTTAAATTTAAGACGATTGAGAACCACTGGGTGATTTCTTTTAAATAGCTTTTCTGGTATTGTTATATTATGTAACTATACTTTTTACGAATAATCTATAATATTCTATATCATAATTTAAATGGAGGAGTCTGAGTCAGTTCGGATTTGTGGTTGCCATTTAAATAATAAATTCTAATAAGAAAAATATTTATTTTTTCCACAAATTAAAAATAACCTTGTAGGAATGTAGAAACATATGTAACCAGTAACCACTTCGACGTAGACAAGGTAGGTATCTACGGCACATATTACATACCTACGTACGTTTAAGAATATTTCATTTTCATGCTGAGACAATTTAACAGTGTAGGTCTTAGTGGCCTTTGGAATGATAAAGAAATGTATGATTTGTGTCAATTTTTTAGATATTGTATACAACAATATTATATGTGAAATATTTACGAGGGGGGATCAGGGGTGCTGGACTCTCCCACCCCAGAGAAAAAAAAACAAATTTATGTGCCTGCAGCATAGTTACAGAAATTACACATTAACATTATTATTTTTAAATTTTTTAAAAATCCAATGATACAAATATTCAGGGATTTGACTACCACAAATCTTCAGTTTCCTTAATTTCACCAAATATAGATAGTAATGTCATACATATCAAACGGTCAAATAATCTGACAATACCAAAACAGAAAATGAAAAAAATTTCAACAATTTTGATATCGGATTTTATTTTAACCGCTCTACACATCTATGTAGAGATAGAAGAAGTTCTTTTGGGAGCTCGAATCTACTTTTGAATTTTCTAATACTGTGATTTTTAGTGGAAAAGATAAACAATCCAAACATTTATAACATTTTATTATATAGTGCAAAATATATTAATTAATATTACTTATGACTATACGAGTATATATTTAATTAAAACCCCTCCAAAAACTGTATAGGAACATAGGTGCCTAACTGTTACAAGCTATCATAATTTGTACTAATTATGTATAATCTGTAGACACCATTCCAAAAAAATTTGAAAGTATGCAATATTATTAATCGTTTGAAGTATTGATGTTATATAAGTTGTAGTTACCAGCTCACTTTGAGGTCTGACTGTAATATCACTATACATAAATTAATCCATAATTTGTTACGATGCACTCAATTTTAATTCCTCAAAAGTTGAAATTAAGGTCGAATAAAGATCTGATTACAATATTAAAAAACAGGAGGAAATATTGACAATTTTGAAAGCACAATATTAATCAATGTAATACCCTTTATAATGAAATGTTTAAACTATAAAATAACAAATATTTGATAGCATAAGAGAGCAATTCTTCAATTAATAATGAATAATAATCAAGTATTAATATGGGACAAAATCAAAGTATTTTTCAGCAAATGTGAACACAATTAGAAGGGAGGGGTTACAATCATTTCTTTATCAATTAAAAAAAAAAAATGTACATGCACTATAATCTCAACTTTTGACTTTGCCAAACCCCTCCTGATTCTAAATCTACAAACGGCTTCAGTAAATCAACCCATCAACAAATATCTTTCAAATTAAGTAATAAGTTCTATAAAAACAGTAATTTTATCATACGTAACCAATATTTGAATGAAATTCATCGCATTTAATTTTAAAATGAACCAACATTTCCAAATGATACATCAAATACATGTAAAACCGAATTAATTCTAAAATAAATATAGATGAAACTAAGATAAATACATTCTTGAAGGTCTAAAATTGATTTCTATGTTGAAATTTAGGCCAAATGCAAATATATTTATAAATATTTTAGCAATTTTAGCATGTTTAATTGGAAAGTGTAGTGGCCCTCCATTTCATTTTCTACCCAAACAAGTAAGACATAATAATAAATAATAACAAGACATAATTTTACTGTGGTAAAGGTTAAAAATATTAAATGATTAAAAGAAGTTGAAAGCTATAAATATAACACAAAACAATATTCCAAGCCTGAAGTGCAAAGAAAAATTAGTGTTATCCATCCTAGGCTAATTTTTATAGAACTTTTCTACTTTACCAGACACTCCTCCTTTTTTGGCCATTTTTTGAGGGAGAAAATGTTGATTGAATTAGAAATTTATGTTTAAACTTAGTTTCAAAGTTATATCTATTTGAAGTTTTAAAGTAAATAAGTTGTTATTTCTTACAGGTCTACTAGCTCTGATCGATAGATATATTTAGTTTTAACAAATAAATAATAATTTATTACCTGATTTAACAGATTCATTATCTGTATTATTTTTTAAAAGAATAGGTTCCTTTAAAATATTGGTGACATCAGCAATTTGCATCTGTACTTCAAGAGGTGTAGTAGAACTTAGTAATGTATTTTTTGGTGTCGTTTTTATTTCTCTCTCAGTGGTATCTTCAGTGTTAATAGTTATGCCACCAATATCAATATTAATTGAATCATTTATTGCAACAGGTACTTCTTCAATTTTAGTAGAAACAACACTTATTTCTTCAACTTCTCTAATAATTTCATCAGAAACCTGAGTGACAACTTCTATGGCTTTTGATGGCATTAAAGTGAGTTCAATAGCCACGTTTTTGGCTTGTGATTGGAATTTATTTCTAACTTGTTCTACTCCTTCATTATTCTGAAATACATATTATTTAAAATATTAGTATATACCAGATTTAATATTGAAATTGATTTGTGGCAATAATTATGTAGTTGGATTAGATAAAAAAATCAATAAATTAACCAACAAGGCAAGGTGAAATGTAACTGTTATCATAATAAATAATCATGGGACAAAAATAAACATCAAACCATGAATAATAACGGAAAAAAATAATAACAACACTCAGGAAACTCATAATTGTTTATAATATAAATTAAAAAGGAGATTACCAGATTATTTATGGATAATTTAGTGTCATCTTTTTTGATAGCACTTTGTACTTGACTTTGGAATTGGATTTGAATTTTCATCTTTTCCAACTCATCAGCATTCTAATTATAAATCATGTATACACATTTAATAAAATAATACATTTTTATATAACTACTAGAAATAAACAATTGTAGAAATGTATTTTAGTAAAATGTATATAATTTATAAATTTAAAATTATAATGAAGATGAATAGTTAGCTTACTGGTGGCCCTTGTAATGAATTATTTAAGTCAACTTTAAGGCCTGTTTTAGGATCAATTATTGTAATAAGAACTTTTTTCCGTAAAGGTCTAGAAGATGCTTTAATGGTTTTCATTGGATAAGTTGATGGATGTTGTGACACTTGATGCAAAGGT